AAGTAATTTCAATAATGTAAAATATACATTCAATATACATAAATCGATAGTTTTCTTATTCACCAATAAAGATGATTTGAAACATTACCTGGGATAAAAGGCCTTATTCAGAACAGGGAGAAAAAACCCTGTAAGGTATTCTGATGGCCAGTTTTGTGTGTCAGCTTGGCTGGGTTGCAGTCTCCAGTTATTTAAACACTAATCGAGGTGCTGGGAAATGATTTTAAAGATGTGATTAAGCCCCATACGTAATCTGAGTGGGCTTGATTCAACCAGTTGAAAGGTCTTAAGAGCAAAGCTGAGACTTCCTTAAAGAAGAAATTCTGCCAGTGGGCAGCAGCTTTAGCTGATTCCCTAGAGTCCCAATGCACCCTTCCTTTTTTTTTTTTTGAGTTGGAATCTCACTCTGTCACCCAGACTGGAGTGCAGTGGCCACTCCCGGCCACCACAGCCTCGACCTGCTGGGCTCCGGTGATCCTTCCGCCTCAGCCTTCCAAGTAGCTGGAACTACAGGCGTGCACTATCAAGCCCGGCTCATTTTTTGATTTATTGTAGAGATGAGGTCTTATCAAGTTGTCTAGGCGGGTCTCAAACCCATGAGCTCAGGCAATCCACTCACCTCGGCCTTTCAAGGCACGGGATTACAGGCTGAGCCACCGAGCCCGGCCCAATCCACCCTTCCTAAAGGCCTGACCTATGAATTTTGGATTTGCCTTTCCAACTTCCACCATTATGTAAGCCAATTCCTTGTCATAAGTCTTTAGATATATATATCTTCTCGTTCTGTTTCTCTGGTTGAATGCTAATTGATATAGATGTCTAGAAACAAATGTAAATAATATCATACAAGATCCCTGTGGAGAAAAATTATGAAACATTATTGAAAGATCTAAAAGAAAATTCAAGTAAATGGGGGATATATGCCATGTTCGTGGTTTAATAGACTCAATACTTTTTTTTTTTTTTTTTGAGTTGGAGTCTCACTGTGTTGCCCAGGCTGGAGTGCAGCTGCATGATCACAGCTCATTGCAGCCTTAACCTCCTGGGCTCAGGCAACCCTTCTGTCTCAGTTTCCCCAGTAGCTGGTACTACAGGTGTGTGCCACTGTGCTTGGCTATTTTTTTTTTAATCTTTCGGTTTTTTGGGTTTTTTTTGAGGTGGAGTCTCACTCTGTCGCCCAGGCTAGAGTATAGTGGCACACTCATGGCCACCCCAGCATCGACCTGCTGGGCTCCAGCAAACCTTCCGCCTCAGCCTTCCAAGTAGCCAGAACTACAGGTACGCGCTACCACAACTGGCTAATTTTTTTTTTTTTATTGTAAAGATGAGATCTCACCATGTTGCTCAGGCTGGTCTTGAACCCGCGGGCTCAGGCGATTCACTCGCCTTGGCCTCCCAAAGTGCTGGGATTACAGGCTGAACCACTGAGCCTGGCCTTTTTTGATTTTTAAAATAGGGACAAGGTCTTGCCATGTTGCCCAGGCTGGTCTGGAACTCCTGGGCTCAAGCAATTCTCCTGCCTTGGCTTTCCAAAGTGCTGGGATTATAGATGTGAGTCACTGTGCCTGGCTTACTCGATATTTTCTAATGCCAAAAACAACATAATGAAACCCTTCAGGTTAGAACCACCCTTCTTATGTCTCACCAGCAGATTATACTCACATTTCTCTCTTTATTCATTCATTTAATATTCAACACAGACTTATTGATTACCTACTATGTGACCAGGTACTGTTCTAGACACTACAGATACTAGTAAATACAAAAAAACAAAAAAACAAAAAAAACCCTGCCTCTGTGAAGATTATATTCTAATGTCAGACATAGGAGAGTTGTGAAGAAAATACACAGTATGTTAAATGGAAATTAGTGTTCTGAGGGGAAGAAAAAATAGTGAAGGGAAAGGGAAATAAAGACTGCTGGCATGAGGGTTGCAATTGTCCATAGATTGGTCAAGCAAAGCCTTATAGGAACAGTAAGATTTGAGCAAATCATTGGAAAAGAGGGTTTATCCAAGAAGATTCCTGGAGGCCATAGTATAACTAGGGGAAAACCTCCAACCTAGGGTAGACCTGACATGGTTGAATGAGAAGGTGATCAGGCCAGAGAGGACAGTGTTAATCAATTCTTCAACATGGGGGCAGGCACGTGTGTTTCCAAGTTTCCTGGTAGGGGCTCTCAGATCCTCTCAGCCCTAGGTTGGAGAACGTTAGTTCATGACTTGCTCTTTACTTGAGGAGTAGATGTTCAGGAAGCAAAGAGTGCCAAATATACAACTCAAATTATTTAGGATGCAGTTAGATTTGGTTTAATAATTAAAAATACTTTTAGTTTTCTTTGGCATAGATCAAGCTATTAATTAGCGTGTCATGTGGACCCAGCATGTATTATTCTCTCAAAAACCCATTTGTGGTGGAAAATGTGCTGAGCCCCATTTGTGAAGATAATTATAGTTGATATCTTCGGGAGTGTCTGCCAAGTTCTTAGTGATTTCCCTCTTCTCTGAGATCTGATTCCAGAATCTACAGGGGTGACGCCTCTGCCCACATAGCTACTGCCTGAGCATATCCTTTGGTCATAGCTTATTGGACCAGAGCTGAAGAACAAAGCTGAACCAATGAAATCTTTCCTTCCAGGAATTCAGAATTGGAGCCAAGAGGGTTAGGCCAATCTGTCCTTTTGACTGGAACTATAAGGTGTAGGTTCAGGGTGGCTATATTTCACAAGTGTTTCTGAGGAGCAGAGAAAGCTGAGTTTCAGGGCAAGAGAGCAAAGCAAATGCACAGAGAATCTCTAAGGGCAGACACTTAGAGAGTTCTTCTGTCTTTAAATTTTTTTTTTCATGTTGTTAATAGACTTTTTTTTAAAGAGCAGTTTTAGGTTCACAGCAAAATTGAGCAGAAGGTACAGGGTACCCAAATATCCCCTTCCCCCACCCACATATAGGCCCCTGCCCATCAGCATCCCCCCCACCCCTGGTATGGCGTGGTACATTTGTTACAATTGATAAATCTACATTGACACATGATTATCACCCAAAGTCCATAGATGACATTATGGTTCTCTTGGTGTTGTAGATTCTGTGGGTTTGGACAAATGTAACGACATGTATCCACCATTATAGTATCACACAGACTATTTTCACTGCCCTAAAAATTCTCTGTCCTCCATCTATTCATCCCTCCCTCCCCACTAACCTTTGGCAGGCACTGATCTTTCTTGCGATCTCCTTCATTTGTCTTTTTCCAGAATATCACATAGGTGGAATTATACAGTAGTATGTAGCCTTTTCAGATTCTGCCTTTCAAGTTTTAAAGCACAATTCTTCCCTGAAGTCCAAATGTCTCCCAGCTCTTGAGTTCAATAAAACATTTCTATGCCTTATAATTAATCATATTGGTTATTTTGGTTAGTCAATGGGATTTGCAATACAGTGATGTTACAGGTCTGCAGTAGTAGGGAGTGTACTTTTAATGTTTTTTTTTTTCTTCCAGTAGGGGTGATGGACCTCATTGTAATTCATTCATCTGTTCATTTATTCATTCATTCATTTCACTCACAAATTTTTTGTGGGGGTGCATATTCATGTTAGTACCTAAAGATGTAAGACTGAGTAAGACATAGTCTTTGCACTCAAATAATTCTTTTTTTTGTTTGGTTGTTTTTTGTTTTTTTTTTTTGAGTCTTCATTTTTAGGGTGGTTAGTTAGGATTAGGGGGAATAGTATTTTCCTCTAAAATACCAAAATTCTCTTTTTGAGCTTGATTGTTGAGAGAATCAAAACCTAACCTTATTTGTTTAGGGTTGATTTATTTTAAAAATATATTGTGAACGATAGAGTACACAAATATTTTTCACTCATTATAGTAATATCTTCTATTTGTGTTAATCAGCTTAGAGCCTTCACGGAAAAATCTATTAAGCACACTCCTTTGAAAGGAAACATTTGATTTAGGAATAAAACAAGTTTTAAAATTGTCTAGTTTAGCTGGAGGTCTTCAAAACTCTTAAATTATATATTAATGTATTACATTTATACTTTTTCTTTTAATTATAATTTTGAAGTTTCTAATATTTGACTGTGAACTTCTGCAGAACACAGGTAAATAAAAACCAACCGAAACAAATAATCCCAACAAATGAGCTTCGATATCCTTGGGATTGGTCAAGGCACGTGGATGAATTGTGTAGCAATTCCCTTTTTTCAACTGCCAGTGATAGATCTGGCTCACAAGAGAGCCCAAACCTTCCTTTAACTGATACTTATTTTCAAAGACCCACTCTGATCTTTTATCTTTTCCAGGGTGAGAATTCTTAGAATTTATAGCTGTCTAGAGGAAATTTATTAGGGTAGGTGCGTTTAAAGTCCTTGCTTTGCTGCCTTGGAATCCAGTGCCTCCAATTTCAGCAACCAGTTAACATCTAGAAAGACTAAAGATTGGGGACAGAAGGGTTTTGGAGATTACATACACTGAAGGTCAAGACCACAGACTTTGGAGATCTGGTTGGTATCTGGCTTCTGTGTGTCTTCAGGCAAGTTACTGACTCTCTGAACCACATGTATAAAATGAAGATAATACACCCTTTCTCACAGGGGGCTAGGAGCATTAAATGAATGGCAAAGATCAAGTTGTCTAGTATAGTATCTGACTTGTAGGGGGTAATTCAATAGTAGTGATGGTAGTTATTATTATTTATTACAAGTGATTTTCCCACAGTTGTCCAACTAATCAGTGGTAGATTCAGGTCCCTTGAATCCCATCATACCTATGCCCTTGCTACTATACTTGCTTCTTTTGGCTGTGGGTCTTAAAATCAAATAATCACTAAAGGAAACCCTGAAGTAGTCTAGTCTTTGCAATTGGCAGTATTCTCTTTAACAACATTCTCATCAACAGCTTGGTCGTTTTCAATATCCCTCTTTTATCATTATAGTTTAAAAAGGGGTGTTACCATTATATCCAAGAAATTCTTTATGAAGCCTTTTAAATTCATCTTACTTGAAGTCTTCGGGGTGGATGTCTTTTAATAATACTTGTTTCTCTCCTTTCCAGTGGGATGTCAAAATATGTGGGGCTGGATGCTTAAAGGATTGGGGGAGAAACAAGAATAAATCATTAAATACAATTCACCATTAAATTTGGCATCATAAATTAGTTATTAGACTTTTTTTTTTGAGTTGAGGGTCTCACTCTGTTGCCCAGACCAGTGACCCACCCTCCTCAGCTTCTGCAGTAGCTAGTACTACAGGCGTGCGCCACCATGCCTGGCAATTAAAAAATTTTTTTTCCAGAGTCGAGGTCTCACTGCATTGCCCAGGCTGTCTCAAACTCCTGGGCTCAAACGCTCCTGCCTTGGTCTCCCAAAGTGCTAGGATTACAGGCATGAGCCACCATGATTGTCCCCGCCCCCACTTTAAAAACAACAACAAAAGCAACAGGATCTTGCTCTATTGCCCAGACTGGAGTATACAGTGGCATGATTACAGCCCACTGTAACCTTGAACTCCTGGGCTCAAATGATTCTCCCATCTCAGCTTCCCAAATTGCTGGGATTACAAGCATGAGCCACCACACCTGGCCAGTTATAAGACTTTGTTAACTCAATTTTGCACATTTCCAGTTTTAATTTCTAACCTATAGGTTGAATGTAGGGATAAAACATGGAAAGCAGGGGCCCTACATGAATGCAAATGGTGCTATTTTAGCCTAGACCCAGGATTTAATTTCTGTTATCCTCATTTTTTGTTCAGGTTCATATTTAAAAGACCTACAAAATTAACAATGTATTGATTAAAAATGTTCCACAAATGGGATTTGGCCTAGAAATAAAAAATATAAAATCAGAAAAAACACAACTTTAAGAAATGAAAATACATTATTTTCTCAAATGAAATAGACAATGGTGAGGTGATTAGACAGAGAGAGATGATAAAGATGTGAAGCATAGATGTATAATAGGAGTTTGCAGTGCTTAAAATTGTATGATGACCATTAAATAGTCCCTCCAACTAGGGAAAGAAATTTCCACAAGTTGTTACTATAATACAACATGTCAGTATTATTTTCCAATGAAACAAGCCAGGGATACGTAGTCAAGTCTTTGTTAGGAAACAGGGGTTCAAAAGATTCATTATAGATTCTATCTATCTATCTATCTATCTATCTATCTATCTATCTATCTATCTATCTATCTATCTATCTATCTGAATCAGAGTCTCATTGTAGCCCAGGCTAGAGTGCAGTGGCACAGTCATGGCTTACTGCAGTCTTGACTTCCTGGGTTCAGGCAACTCTTCTGCCTCAGCCTTCCATATGGCTGAGACTATAGGAGTGAGCTATCACATCCAGCTAATTTTTTTTTTATAAGGATGAGTTCTTGCTATGTTGCCCAGGCTGGTCTTGAACTCCTGGGTTCAAGTGATCCTCCTACCAAGGCTTCCTAGTGCTGGGGTTACGGTTCTGGTCATGGATTTTGTTTTTTAGCTTGATTGTCCTGGGCTCTCAGGAGTGCTACTGTGACCAATGCTGCAGTGTCCTTACCTCTTAACAATTTGGATGCATTCTGATTTCTAAATTGTTCTGTAGACTATATTACAGTCCCATTTTGTATTTTGAATGGAAAAATCCTGAGTAAATATGTATCTCTATCCTTAAGACATTTGAATGACCACTTTATGGACTTCACTCTCTCTTTTAGTGGGATAGAAACTATGATCTTATTTTCTTTCTAAATATGACAACATATTGAGCAGGACAGAATCAACAACAACAAACATACCAGATTTTAAAATGTAAATATTTTCATCAATTTTTCTCCCAGAAGACTGACTACTGCTTATTTTTATATGATTTGAGTGTACCACCCTATTTTAAAATCAGATTCTCCCAAAATGGCATAGGCTGTGTCAGATCTTTATTTTTATTCCTGATTATAGGTGAAGAAAGCTGGTCAAGTAACTTGCCCAAGGTTATTTGGTATGTGGTGGAGCTGGGAGTAGAAGATGGGACTTTTGAAAATAGTAATCAGAATGGTCACCATCCCCCTGTAATTTATTTCTGATCTGGTTTTGTCATTTAAAAAATAAGCACATTTTCCAGTTGGGACTCTAAAGCACTAGAATCAGCTTTTGCCATTCCTTTAGTTACCAAAATCTTAAAACTGTGAATTGGGGATTTAGATAAAAAAAGAAATTTCTCGATGAAACTAGGAGGAAAATTTCCATCCATGTGCCTAAGAATTTGGAGAACATAAAAGTAGGCCCATATAGAACTAGTCAAAGGTTTTCAGTTCTATAGACAGTAGCCATGAACATTATTCCAGGCAAGATTTGCCAAGTACCAAAAGAGAAGGTAAGGTTTCTTTCTTTTTTTTTTTTGGCGGCGGGGGTGGAGTCTCACTCTATTGAACAGGCTGGAGTACAGTGGTACAGTCACGGCTGCCACAGCCTCACTCTGCTGGGCTCAGGTGATCCTTCCGCCTAAGCCTTCCAAGTAGCTGGGACTACAGGCATGTGCCTCGACACCCGGCTAATTTTTATTTATTTATTATAGAGATGAGGTCTTGCCATGCTGCCGAGGCTGGTCTCGAACCCTTGGATTCAGGCAGTCCTCTCACCTCAGCCTCCCAAAGTGCTGGGATTACAGGCATGAACCACTATGCCTGGCCAGGATATAAGTTTTCTGACCAAGTCGTCCAATAGGGGAACTTATTTGTGTTACTGTTCCAGGATGTAAAGAAAAGAGAACATGACATATGTATACGTTATAAACATATATCTCTCTTTCCAAGTTAGAATGTGTGTTTAATTATCATTGTAGTCATCGTAAAACATTTTATATGTCTTATACAATATCCCAGGTTAATTTATAGCCACTTCAGGCTCAGAGCTTCTAATAATAATGGGAAAGAATTTTCTTAGTTCTGCAGATGACCATGAAGAATATGGGGCTGGGAAGAAGGTGACTCATCCACTCATCTGTGCTGCAATAAATCAATTCTGTTTAGGATGGTTTCAAAATTCATGTTAGAATGAGTTCACTCCTGAAGTGCTGCTTTCAAAACCACACATCCAAACGCATTAAATTGTACTGGGGAGGGAGAATGATTTAGATTTAGAATCTAACTGAAGCATGATTGCTGTCATTTATCACATTCGTATGGATAAAATTTTAATGATTTGGCAAAACTAGGTATAAACATTGAAAGTACCACAAACTAAGCTGAAACAAAATGATTTTCTCATATGGAATAGTGAAAAGCCCTTTGTACATAGCTTACACACTCATTCTAATGTACCCAGAATACTTTCATTTAACAATCATTCAATCCCCATTGAAAGATATTCCTTTAAATTTCAGTAGAATTTAGAATTTTTCTGAGATTATAGAGACAGTCAGGTAAATCTATCAGTCGGACTCCTTGGTCCAGATATGCAAATGTCATACTGGATTCATGTTTACCTGCAGAATATCTTCCATACCGGGTTTCTTGTAGAGGTGGCAGCTGCCCTTCCAAAGCTTTATTCTGGTCCTGCAGTCTTGCTGAGGAATATGAACTCTTTTCTTCCAGATTCTGATAGAATGCAAAGTCCACAGGGCCAGTCGAGGGAGTTTCTTCCTCTTTGTTCTGCAAAGGTGCTACTTTGGTCACCCTAGGGTGAGACTTAGAGTGGCTCAGGCCCATTTCATGTGAAGGACATTCAGAGGAAAACCACAAGGAAAGTGGTTTTGGGGCCTTTAATGTAGCTTGTTTTCATCAAGGTGTTTCAGAAGTTTACCTGGGTGTTACAAAGCAGTCGTTTCCCTCACTACATACTTCTAGCTCTATTTCACCAGATACTAACCCCTCAGGTTACTTCCTGGGAGTCTGGTTTCCATGGAGACTTCCCTTCAACTTTTACTTTGCCATTTCAGACCCAAAGAATCTGGTTAAACATTGACTTGGTTATGCTACTTTCTGAAAAATTCTGTGGTAAGAATAAAAACCACTACTGATCATTAAACAGATATCTAACACCAGGAAGGCAATTAACAGAGAGATGTAGAGCAGAGGTTTAGAGAAGTCTTAAACTTGACGCTTTCACTGCAAATACTTTTGTAGGAACTAACAACTGAGAACAGCTAAGTCACCTCTGGCAGTAAGAGAATGCATGCTAATGGCTAAGACTTTGTTACTCTTTAACTTTAAATAATTTATCATCCAAATAGGAAGGAAAACAGCACAGTGGCTTAAAGCTCCACTTGATTTTCCTGTCAGTGACCTGAGTGGACTTTGAAGGGGTGAATATGTTACAGGAGGACAATATACATTTTTTCTTGGGGAGAGGGGACTGTTAGGGTTCGGATGGACAGGGTGAGAGTGGAGAGGCGCAGGGAGGTGTGCAGCACTGCCGGGGCTGGCAAGCCGGAGGTGCGCGCTGGCAACCCAGAGATCCGAGTAGATTGCAAAGAATTGTGACACACAGAAAGGTGAGACAAGAAAAGATTTATTTAAGAAAAGTTCACCCCCCACAGACAGGGAGTGGACCTACACTCTAGGTGAGTGTGGCGTCGTAGCCCCCAGAGTCCTGGCTTAAATTCTTTCTTTGATGATGTTGCACGTGACTGCTGTGACTTCCTTATCGACTACCTGTGGATGTCTTCGAGAACCTGTGACACAGAGACCCATTAATGTTCGCCCACATTATCATAGCCCCTAAAGAAGGGTGTGACAAGGATTCTAATGCTCCTGCACCTTCCCAAATGACATTCCTTAGAGCTAATGGAGGGTGCACCGCCCCTTATCTCCTAGGCATTCCCAGTGGGCAGCTTCAGGGGATCCTTGGCTTCCCTGTAGGTATTGCCCAATTTACTGGAAGATCGAATCCCCACCTGCTCCCCCTCTGAGTGGTCATAACTTTTGTAATTACAAGTTTCATGACTTTTACAATCCTTGACCAAAGGATGATGTCTCAGGCCTTGTAAATTCCCTTTACTCTAGGCAAGTTTGATTGCCACATGAGATACCTCTGATACCTGGAAGTCTGCTTCTGAAAAGACAAAGTCGGTAAAGTTAATTATACCTAAAGTGTGCATTTCTCCAAAAGCATAGCTTTTACTTTCTCATCATTGTGTCAGCGTTTAAGAACAAGAGGATAAACAGCTTCCCACTCTCGGTCTGTCCCTGAAAGGACAGACTTCTCAAAAAATGGTCTAAATAAACCTTGAGTTTTCAAAGATAGCCTATTTACTATATCTTTAAAAAATAAACAAAAAAAAAAAGACTGGAAGGAAATGGGCTGAAATGTTGAGTTGTGATTTTTTGAATAACGTAAATATAGTGATTTTTTATTTTATTCTTTATACTTTGAAATGGGACTTATTTTCTAGTTCTAATTGTTTATGACCACAAATTACATGTGTTTTCATCCCATCTTCATAGAGAAATTCAAAATAATTTATTTTTCATTATTGTACAGTCCATTTGCTAAGGAGCTAACATGGTGTTTGGAAAGTCTTGCTAGCCAATAGCATTATCTAAAATGATGCTAGAAATTGTTTAGATTTTTCCCATGTATTCCTTTTGCATTTTATACACATTTTTTTTCTGCAGCAGAGAGAATTGTAAGAAAGAACCATATGCTAACAGTATCTGTAAATAAAATTACCTCTTGTAACTAGAGACTAGTTTAATTATAAAGATAAAAATATTGAACAACATCTAGTCCTATTTATGTTTGGATACAATCCATTTCTAAGGGCAGGGAAATGTATTGCAAACTAACAAATGAACTAGAAATTATAGTGAAAACCTTCTGGACCTGGAACAGTGAGAAGAATTGTAGCTCTTATTTTTGCTTTATTATTTAATTTTCAGAGACTATGTTTGTGGACAACATATGCCTTGGTTGAGGAAATTGGTAGTTGTTGAAGAAATGATTTAAAAATGAAGGGGCATTTCTGTGTCTGTTTTTCTTTTCATTACTAGTAACTACCATGGTTTATGGCTCGTGCAAATTCCTCAGTTTCCTGATCTGTAAAATGGAGTTATTAATATAATACTTCACGAGGAATGAATCTATTGATTACATGTATAACTCTTAGAATAACACCTAGCATGTAGTAAGCTCACAGTAATCATTAGCTTGTATTCTCCTCCTGAGAAAGTATTGCTACAAGCTTACATGTACATAAGATAGTTCCTTTTTGCCCATGGGTCAAAAAAGAATCCTTTATAACAGACATATTCCTGTCCAAAGGAGTTTGAACCTAAGTATAGAAAAGACCACCGAGGAAAGTTGATAGGTCTATTTAACTGGGAAAACAACAGTGCCTAAGGATTATCATTTAAAAAATCTTCATATGCTGAAAGAATTTTATTAAAAATCATGGCAAAAATTTTAATTCCATTAAAGAGAAAAAAGAGAGTTTAAGTTTGCCTGCAGAGTTAGCTATAACAGCAGTCCTAAACCTTTTTGGTGTCAGGAGCCAGTTTCATGGAAGACAATTTTTCCAGGGGTAGGGGGGTGATTTGGGGATGACTCAAGTGCATTACGTTTCTTGTGCACTTTATTTCCATAATTGTTACATTGTAATATATAATGAAATAATTATATAACTCACCACAATGCAGAATTATGGGCATGTTGCTTATGTCCAGTCTACTATGAAATCTCATTTTGGTTGCTGTCATTGCAGACCCTGCTTCACAAAGGTAGGATGTTGGAAATGGAAGCAGGCTTTTCAGTGCTTCTGTGGCAATCTCAGGATATTCCACCTTGGCTTTACTCCAGAAGGTATGGAGATTTGAAGTGGCAAACATACTTTTAAGGCCACTGTCATTTGTGATCTCAAGCAGTTGATCTCCTTCTAGCACAAACAAAGTTGATTGATCTGGCTTATTCATAAATGGGTTGTGGATTCATTCCTTCCCAGTTTGTGGGTCTTTTGTGGTTGGGAAGTAATGCTCAAACTCTTTTGAAAGCTGAGATAGGTGATCATGTACCAGCTAGGAGAAAAAAGGCCCTCTCCTCAGTCTCCTTCAAAATCTCTGCTAATGTCTGAAACCTATAAAAAATCCCAAAGTTCACTCGTTGCCCCCATAATTCCCACTTATCTTTGATTGTAGCCACTTTATCTGCCAACTTGAACACAGTTGTTGTTCTCCCCTCAAATGACAGATTGAGTTCATTGAGCATGTTGAATATGTCATACAAGTAAGCAAGTTTTGTGACCCATTCTATGTCACTGAAATGTGCTGCCACTAGTGACTAATTTTCTAAAAGAAATCTCAGGAGTGGCTCTTATAACTAAAAAATTCTATCCAGTGATCTACCTGTAGAAAGCCATCTCACTTCTATGTGTAAGAGAAGACGTGTACTCTGTATCCATCTTCTCACAGAGCTGTATGAACAGACATGAGTTAAGGGCATGTGCTTTAATGTGATTAATAATTGTAATCACATCCTGCAAAGCATTATTAGGGTCTGGTGACATTTTTCGTCTGGCCAGCATTTCTCTATGGATTACACAGTGTGTCTACTCACATTCAGAAGCTTCCCCTTTGACCCGAGTAGTGAAACTAGAAAGCCGGCCGGTCATGGCAGCTGCTCTGTCCATGCATATACCTATACAAAATGATCAGTTCGGTTTTCTTGCTATGTAACCATTCAAAGATTTGAATAGTTCTGCAGCTGTGGTATTGGTTGGCAACAATATCTTCATGCACATCCTTCTGAAAAATAATCACACAAAAGCAAGCGTTGCTTTCTCATTGTCAACATTGATAGACTCATCAACCTGGATTGCATACCATGACTCATTAATCCTTTCTAACAATTGTGCCTCAATATCCTCTCTTATTTCATCAATTTGTCTAGTAATGGTGCTAGCCAAAAGAGGAACACATGCCACCTTTTGAACTGCAGCCTCTCCTAAAAGTTCACGACAAATGTTCTTAGCAGCAGGCGTGATCAACTCTTCACTAATAGTGAAAGTCTTAGCTTTTGCAATATGTTTAGCCATTAAGAACAATGTTCTCAGTACAGACACATTTGATGAAGTGATGGCCTTCAGTAATTGCTCCTGTTCTTCATTTTCACGTGGTTTTCTTTTGAAAAACTCAAAAGGCTAGTCTTTTAATGCAGGGTACTTGGACTCCATGTGGCGAAGCAGTTTTGAAGGTTTCATGGCTTTGCTGGTTAGTCAGTCACTACATATTATACAAAGCAGGCTTGGAGAATGTGAATCACCTGTTGCAATGAACCCATAATTTAAATAGGACTCTTGATATTTTCTTTTAAATGTAGCTTTCTTTTTGTTGGCAGTCTTAGAGTCTTCTGCTGTCTCATCATTGGTTCTTTCTCCTTTTTCAAAGCATTCCAGTGGCTTTTTAACCAAAACTGTGACTGAGACAAGTGTGCAGTGAGGGAAAGAGGTGTGGATGGAAGTGGTAAATAAAATAATGGGCCGGCCATGCACAGACTAAAATAAGTGTAAGTCGGATTCTGACTTAAAGCCTGCCACCAGATGCAGCTGTATAATTGAAGTATGTTAACTCACTTGCCACTCATTGATAAGAGTTTTGATATGAGTCTGCAAGCAATTGATTTATTATAGTCTCTGTGAAGTCAAACCTCACTGCTAATGTCAATCCCTAGTACTAGTATCTCTGCCTCAGCTCCACCTCAAATCATCAGGCATTAGATTCTCATAAGAAGCACACAACCTAGATCCCTCACATGCATAGTTCATGATAGGGTTCATGCTCCTATGAGAATCTAATGCCACTGCTAATCTGACAGAAGACAGAGCTCAGGTAGTAATGCAAGTGATGGGGAGT